CAGGCTCTCAGGGGTGTCAGGCTGAGAGTCTGGGGCCTGAGAGTTGAGTCCAGGGAAGAGCCCGTCCGTTGGTCGGAGTGCCACAGCAGGCTCTTCTGCTGCAGGCGGCTCTGCGCCGCAAGTTCGGGGGCGACCGAGCCAGCGAAATGCTGAGGCAGCCGGCTGGCTTCACCCCCCTACGCGCCTGAGACTGGGCAACCGGGGGGGGGGGGGAATCAGGCGGATCTTTGCACTCTGGCACCATATATGCTTAAGACAGCCCTGGATTCACTGGCAATGCTCCTGTGGGCTGCACATTTATAAAAGTACAATTTATTTTAAATGGTGGCAGCTGTTTTCTGAGTTGCAGTGCTTTCTGTCACTGCTGAGCTGCACAGTGATGACTTGTGCTGTTAGCTGTTTTTTCACATCCTAATTTTATTATCCAGTCGCTTTTAAGGCATTTTGTATTATTCATTTGCATTCGTTGACCTGTTTTAAATACAGTGGTACCTTGGGTTACATACGCTTCAGGTTACATACGCTTCAGGTTAGACTCCACTAACCCAGAAATATTGCTTCAGGTTAAGAACTTTGCTTCAGGATGAGAACAGAAATCGTGCTCCGGTGGCATGGCAGCAGCAGGAGGCCCAATTAGCTAAAGTGGTGCTTCAGGTTAAGAACAGTTTCAGGTTAAGAACAGACCTCCGGAACGAATTAAGTTCTTAACCTGAGGTACCACTGTAGTTATTATCAGGTTGTATGCTTGTCTTCATTTTGGAAAATGGTAGAAAAGCTGGGTAAATTAGATCTGTATGAGTGAGAAAGGACCCTATGCATGAACACAAGACTCAGCCTTCCCACCAGGAGCCCCGATTGGCCCATGGTCTTGGTCACATGGAGGAACCCTCGAAGTGTACAATTGTATGTTCATAGGACCCTTTCTCAATATCACCAAGCATTTAGCCACCAGGGGGCAAATCAGTATCAGGGGTGGGGCCAGTGGATGTGATCCTGCTCCCCTTCACACATTCACTATATCTGAAGGAGCGTCTCCACCCCCATCATTCAGCCCGGACACTGAGGTCCAGCTCCAAGGGCCTTCTGGCGGTTACCTCACTGTGAGAAGTGAGGTTACAGGGAACCAGACAGAGGGCCTTCTCAGTGGTGGCACCCACTCTGTGGAACGCCCTCCCATCAGATGTCAAGGAAATAAACAACTATCTGACTTTTAGAAGACATCTGAAGGTAGCTCTGTTTAGGGAAGTTTGTAACATTTGATGTTTTACTCTGTTTTAATGTTCTGTTGTGAGAGTGGCTGGGGAAACCCAGCCAGATGGGCGGGGTATAAACAAACAAACAAACAATAGAAGGTGCCAGATAGGCAGGGTTTTTTTTCAGCTGGAGCTCACTGGAGCTCACCTCTCAGGTGGGCGCCATTGCCATTCTAAGAGAACAAGGTCTTGACCCCTTTCTAGCAGTGCTAGGGACCCAACTCAGTCTAGACCTGATATGAGCTTTATAATGCTGACATTGCGACAGAGGCTGGAATTGAGAGCCTGTGTTCATTTTAAAAGAGATAACAAATATCAATACCTGGGCACTGCAGATCCCCAAATCGGTAACACAGCATGTGTGAATTTTCAGTTCCAAAAGCCTTACATTCTAAATGTTGCGGTAAATTATCCAGTCATCCCCCAAAAATCCTTGACCATGTTCTCTTATCCATCACACCAGTTTTATATGGCCATGTTGCCCTGACATCGATGGAATGCACCCTTCCTCACATCTGTATTTGAGTGAGATCAGCCTCATGCTACGAATGAGTGGGACAGGGTGATACATTCAGATTGCAAAAGTAAATGTAATTGTTTCAGGATGCCTCTGTCAGTCGTAACAAGGCACTTCATTTGTCTTGCTAATAGTGGTAGGAAGTAAGAGAGATTTTTCTCCCATTTCACCATTGGTGCTTTCTACAACATGTCAATAATGAAGTAGTAGGTGAAAAGAAAAGGTCATCATGCACGAAATTTTTTGAAACCCACAATTTTTTCCCCACTTGAAAATGGGCAGGATATTTTAAATAATATCCAGTAATAGAGTGTATTCATCATTTTTGTATTTTCCCTTTAATGTCTCACCAGTTCCCATATTTCCTTGGCAAAGCATTCCAGTGTAACTATGGAATGCTGACATTTTCCTAAATGAATAGTTAAGATGTTTTGCATAGCATGGCAACAAGTCACAAACTTATGATACAGTGGGGGGATGGGGAGGTCCATGGTTGAAATCAATGCAATATGTAAGTACTGCCAGATGTGTGTGTGTGTAAAAGCAAGTCCAACATCATTTTATGTGTGTGAGGTAGCATCTAATATAGTTAAAAATGACACAAGGCAAGGAACTAGCACTTTAGAAAACTAGCATAAATATGAAGTATCCTTCTTATTGGGTCATTTGTACCTGCCCTTCTTCCAAGAAGCTGAAAGTGGTGACTACAGTGTAATCCTTTACATGTATTTTCTCAGAAGTAAGCATCGCTTGGTTTAATGAGACTTATTTCCAGGTGAGTGTGCATGCACACTATCCTGAGGGTAAATCCCATTGAACCCAATGGCACTTGAACTCAATGGGGCTTACTCCTGATTAGATATACATAGTATTGTGCTGTTAGCCTCATAACATTATAAAATGGGTTAGGTTGAAAGGTACTGAAAAATCTTATGACATGATAAGACTAACACATTTATTATGACATAAGCTTTCATGGACTACAATCCACTTTGTCAGATACATGAAGTGTCCTGAGTGACATGGTCATTCCAGTGGGGGGATGGAGTCAGAGGCAAAATGTTAGTGGGGCCTAAAGATGGAAAACCTGTCAGTTTCAGTTCTCTTAATTTCTCTTTTTTCTTGTCTTACATTCAATTCTCCACATTTTCCAGCAATTTCCTTTTTTTTTTTTAATCCTCATGAAAATTCATCAGCATCTTAGTGCAAATTTCTCCTAGTAGCCACAGTTTTGAGTAATATCCACATTTCCCCAAGCGATTTCCCCTAATATAATGCATTTGTGTATGTTATTTTCACTAATATTTTGATGCACACTTTCCCCTGATACTTTTGTTTTTGTAAACATGGCTTGGTTGGGGAACTGCATTGCGAAATTCGGAGCAGTGCAAATTTCAAAGAATGGCCGTGTTCCAGTTCTCATACTGTTTTGAAAGTGTGGATTTGATAAATTCGCCTTTAAATTCAAACTGAAGCATATTTCTGCTCCATCTCTAGTGGGGCCGGAGGCAAAAATGGGCAGAGTATGGCTGTGGCTTTGTACAACAGGCTGCATTCCAGTCAGGGAAAAGAAAGAGGCCTCTAGACACGAACCTCTCCTGTCAGATAAGCAGGAGGCATGATTACAGTTTCAACCTGGCACAACTCACGAGGAGGGTGTGAAGCAGGACCAGGCAGGGGTGTGGCCTGGGCGGAGTCCAAAGGGTTAGACAGAGGGCCCTGCCCCTGGGTCTAGACTTAAGGTGCCATAAGTCCCTTTGTTGTTTTTGTTTCAACAGATGACACAAGGGCCCCATTTTTTAGCTTGTACTGAGTGTCCTTCCAGGTTGCTTCTTTGTAAATGGTATGCATGTGTCTCAAATGATACTTCTGTTCAGCTGGATTTAGGTAAACTCACTTATCTGGTAAGCTACCCAGTGGTATTATATGTTGGGAGTTAAGAAACAATTGAACAGTTACTTGCTAATAAAATGATGGTAATTTCTGCCACCCTTTTTACAGCAGAACCAAGAAACCTCAAAAATGTGAAACATGGAATCGATCATTTTTATGTTGCATGATACAGCAATTTATTGAATCATAAACTTGTTTTCTTTTAAAGATTTGATGACTTATGGACTTGACAAAATTACTGACTCACTGAGACGTGGGGGGGGGGGGAGCCTGCTTACAACAAGAAGTAAGTGTTCCCTGACATTTTAAAAGCTTTGATGTCTTTATTTGGATTTTTAGCAGTGGGTGTGAAATCTGTTTGCTGTCCTTGAAAACACATGGATTCGAGAACTCATGCCATGTGTTATGCCATAATTCCTAAATTAGAGACGGTGCTCAATGGTATTTGAAAGTTAATGCTCCTGTCCTCTCAGATGGCAGCCCTTTCCATTAACCATGGAGATGTTTGTTTTTCTTAGAGAGAAAACAGTGGCAGCATGCACAAGCTGAAACTCCCCATTGCAACAGCACTCTCCTCAGCAGCTGGTGTTCAGGATCATTATGCCTCTGGCAGTGGAGGCCAGGGATAATGGGAGGTCAGAGATATGGGGCTGTGTAGTCCAACAACATGTATAGGACACAACATTGGCTACCCCAGGCTTAGATTAACTAATATTTTCTCCCGTTCATCCCTGATGATTGTTCATGCTGGCTGAAGCTGATGGGATTTGGAGTCTAACACCAGCGGGAAGGTGCTATGTTGCCTTCGCCTGAATTAAATAGACTAGGCTCAGTGATTGATGCAACTTGGGGATAACAGATGCTTTTATTACAAGAGAAATATTGCTGAAGAGAGGCTTTCTTGATGTCATTAAGAGTAATAACATTGAATGCCTTACTTATTGCTTGGGAACCTGAATAATTCTAGATGCCTTTTCTAATAAGATGTCTTTTCTAATAGCTTGACCTTGGAGTTCTTATTTATAAAGAGGTCCTGAAGACCAAGGAAGAGAGAGGTCCCACCATTAAAGGAGGTAAGTAGTAAGAGGGAGGTAAGTAGAAGGAATCAGGAGAAAAAAGAGAATGGCTGGCACGTTTGGGGCAGATTCATACCATACCTTTAAAAGCGTGTCCAACACATTTTCCCCACAGAGAGCTACACTTCCCAGCACCCTTAAGAAACTACAGTTCGAAGGATTCTTGGGAGGGCAGTCATGGGCTTCCTTTCATGGATGCTTCTGCTGGATCGATGCCCGTTCCATGACTGGAAGAGCATCCAAAAAGAATGTTCCTTGTATTTATTTATGCAACATTCTAGGCGTTTCCGCTTGCGCCACGTCTCTGTCCTGATTTGACATCGACCACAGATGAATGATAAATTTAGTGGTCTGTCCTCCTAATGGAAAGTGTACCCAGAAAAGAAAACACAGGAGTTAGGCAAATATGAATAACATCACACAAGCAGGACCTTCTCTTCACATGAAAATCACTTAGCACAAGCGATGCAGGAACAAATGCCTCAGCCTCAGCGAGCTGGAATTTCCTTCATAGTGGACATACCGTGCTCAAAATCCGGATGATGGCCTGGTCATGTTTTTCTACTTAAAAAGAAGCCTGCCCTATGTGCTTGTGATTGAAATACCCTCGCTTTAAGGTAAACCGGCCGAAGTGTCAAATATATTTTTGACCTGAAATTTTTCATTCTGACTCTTTTTGAAATAATGGCTTCATTTCTTGTTATGGTTCTGCCTGCAGAATCTGTTTGCTTAAGAAGTAAATTCCAGGGTGAGCATTGGGACTCAATTTTCTCGCTCCACGTTAAAGAGAAGAAAGTGTATCTTCATTTAACGGCAACACAACAGTGAATAGTGGAAACATGCACAAATGAGCCACATAATAATTATTAGCTCCTTGAGACTATGGTATATCTTGAAGTTGTATATATTTTGAAATTAGGAAAGGAGGCTCCTCAGAGAAGGAGATGTGGGCTTTGGTGCCGGTGGTTCCACATAGCATGGAGTGGATCCATCTTCTCAGGGTTGCTGTTGGATAACTCTGCTTCTGTGGACTTCTGGCCTGGGCCCATGAAGATCTTCTAATTTCAACTTACCACAGTTTATCATTTCATCTGAACCACAGATGTGGTTGGCTCTAACTATGGTTTATTCAAGCAAGCCAGAGTCAAAATTCATTTGGAAGCGTTCTTTTCTATTTTCAACTAACTGCTCATCGTTTCCTCCAGTCTCCTCACAACTGTGTCAGAGGAAGAGAGGGGAGGAGTTAACACATGAGCCTGAGACTTGTTCATGTAGCACTAAATTATGTTTCAGTCCAAACACAACCAATGCATCTATGAAATGGAGTCTCTGTGTGGGTTTGGCTTACTGAATAGCTCCCCCCAATAAATAAATAAATAAATAAATAAAGTTTGTATTTGTTTTTAAAATGTTTTGAAATGTGGTGAGCTTTTACATAACTCAGGTGAAGAATTTCACTTACTGCTGCAATTTCTTGTATAAGAACAGCAAGGTACCTGATGTAAATACAAACCTTGCAGTGCAAGTCCAAAACATTTAGACTCAACAAAGTCTCTTTCTCTCTTAAGAAAGGTCTTTTCCAATGTCAATTCATGTAATGCGGAAATCTGGCCTCTAAGTTAATACTGTCCAGTTTCTGAAAAGCAAAGTCTCATTAGGAATATATGACTCCAGCATTTTTTTTCCCTGAATAGTTTTTGAATCAAGACCTGGTAAAATTGAGGTGAAAAAAATGTAGTGCCTGGAAAGTGTACTGAAGTTCAATCAATCCATTTTCTTGCTAGAAATGTATTTTCAGCAGGAGATATTAAAATAAGCACCATAAAAAACAGCCCATTGCTATTGGAGAATAACATTCCTAGAACTGGTACATCACAAGGCTAATTTGTGGTACTTTACTGGAAAAGACACACTTGTTTTCTTTCCCTTTTCCATAATTTGATAATTTGAACGGTCATAAAAGTTCAAAAGAGTGATATATTTTGCACAGTGTATGAAAGCATCTAGGTCCATTGCTTTTAAACAATTGCTCTTAAATTTAGACAGGGGTTTCCCAACTTTTTCAGGCTAAGAGGTCCAGCTGCAGTATTTTGCACCAGCTGGAGCCTCCAGACTAGGCACAAGGATAGGCCCAGAGAGAGCACATTGCTATAATCAAGTCTTGAGGTTACCAATGCACGAATCACTATCCTTGTTCAAGAATAGCCTTAGTTGACGTACCATCTGTAGCTGCTAAAAGGCACTCCTAGGCCCTGAGGCTACATGAGCCTGCAGTGAAAAAGATGAATTCAGGAGCACCCCCAAACTCTGAACCTGTTCTTTCAGAGAGAGTGCAACCCTATCCAGAACTGGCCGGTCTCCTGGACACAGGAACCACCAACCCACAGATGTCTTCCCAAGATTCAAGCATAGCTTATTGGCCTTCATCAACTCCACCACTGCGCCCAGACAATCGTCCAGATCATGCACTGCATGTCCTGACTCAGAAGTTACAGGGAAGTTGTGCTGCATATCATCAGTATACTGTTGAGACTTTGCCCCAAAACTCTGAATGATCACACCCAGCCACCAAGAAGCAGAAGCAGATACAAATTCCCCCAGTCAATCTGGACGGCTCCCAACAAAATATTCAGTTCCCAAACTGCATCTGAACCCAGCTTTAAATGGAACTAGATAACCAGATAGTCTGTATCCTCCAAAAATTCCACATAATTATTGATCAATTTGTGCCTGCCCTCAATACCACTGGGTTACTCTCCCAGTCTGCTGCCCCAACTCTCCTACCTAGTTTCCCATTGACAAAGAAGATGCAAGTGCACCTTGATTTATGTTAATGATAAGTTGAGCCTCCAACAACTACTATGAACTTTTGAATGAAAAGAGAAATGTAGCTAGTTTTAAGCATACAGTAGTTTCATTCATCTGAAGTTGTTCGAGCTGGAGCAGAGAGCTGGAGCAAATATAATTATAATCATAACACGTTGTTTTACATTGCCAGGAAGGTTTTCCATAGAATCATAGAATTCAGGAGCCCTATGGAAATAAATTGGGTCTGCTTGGTTCCCATTCACTTCAATGGGGCTTGTGCAAGAGAACCAACGAGTGAATTGTGCCCGTGGCTGTTGTGTTTATTTCTTAAATATGTTAGGACACTGATTTGGACATATTTTGACTAATGGAACTTGTTCAAAAATTACATCACATATTAAAGCTCACTGCTAAAACAAAACATAACAATCCATATTTGGGTGAAGCCAAACCTACTATAAATTAAATTTACAAAAATTCTTTCAGTATAATTTATTGCCCTAGGACTGGGGAACAAAGCCAGTGACTTATCATATCACATGTATTGCAGAATGAAAACAAGGATTCTATGAACCAAGACCAGAAAATTGAGTTAGGGCCCATTAGATATTGCAAATACTATTTCCATTGCTTTCTTGCCATGAGAACAATTCACATGATATCAATTTAATTCACTCTTTTTTATTCTTTAGGCAAAGAACCTGAAAAAGGTTTGGCAGAAAAAGGTTCCTGATGTAGATCTTCGCTCACCCCATCTTCCCTGGTGGGGTACGGGGTGCAATTTTATGGTTCACCCCAGGTGCCCAAATGTCTTGGACAGGTCCTGTATGCTGCATTAATAAACTATTTCCTCCCAGTTTCATCCAAGCATAAAATTAATAATAGTAATAAAATATAATCTGTTAAGAGGGTAGGTTTATGACTGAGAAGCAAAATAGTGGCAGAAGCTTGGCAGGCATAAATGGCAGGCGTTGATAAAACAGTGTTTGCTGTTGTTTTTCAGCTCTAGGAAAAAGTCTCTTAATTTCACCTCAGCTTTTTAGAATTCTGTTTCAACGTGGGTTTTAGCTGGTCAAGCTGTTTTTCCCCTAGAAATGTTCATTTTATCTTAGTGTTGTCTATATCTACATTGGAAGCTGCTCTGAGAACTTGTGCTGAAAGGTGGGGAACTTAAATGCCTAAACCAATTAGCCCTCTCACTTAATCTGCCTGTGAGTAAGACAGAAGGGCTGGTGCATGTCGTGCATCATTTGGGCAAAAAAGTATTTTACAAACCCTGAATGTTTAGCCCAAAAAGTGTGGATCTGTTGCAGACCTCCCTACTTTGCTACCTTAAATCTGTCCATTTTGCAGAGCTGGAGTTGTAGAGTGGTACCTCTAGTTAGGAATCTAATTCGTTCCAGTGGTCTGTTCTTAACCTGAAACTGTTCTTAACTAGAGGCCTGCTTTCGCTAATGGTGCCACTTGCTCCCACTGTGCCGCCGGCACACGATTTCCGTTCTCATCCCGGGGCAAAGTTCTCAACTTGAGGTAACTCTTCTGGGTTAGTGGAGTTTGTAACCAGAAGCGTTTGTAACCTGAGGCGTTTGTAACTCAAGGTACCACTGTACCACACATCTCCTTGAAGTTTGTATGTTGGGACTCTGGCCAAGAGTGGACTGTGTGTGATGTGTGTTGTTCTGTCAGTTGCATTCACTTAGATGATATTCTTCACATTAATGGTATGGGAGGGACTTCTGCTCATGACAGCACCCTTTACAAACTGTCCATTTGTAAAGGTACGTGCATTTCTAGAGATGAACCCCGCCTTTGTATCTCAGAAGCAAATCCAGCTGTTCTGCTTAATTCACCTCACTCTCTGAAAATGAGCTTGCCACCGACTTACCCCCCCATGTCTTTGATGCCAAAAGGCTTGAGAGAAGAAGAAGGATGCTGGCATTTTTATGCACCTTTTTTTGGGTCAGATTATCTTAGTAAGAAGCAGCTGGATTTTGCCAGACTTCTTCGTGGCTTTCATGGATGACAACCATAGATTTAACAGCAACCAGACATCACACTTCATTTAGATGGCCCAACTGTATGTTTTTTCCCCAAGCCTCCTGATCCAAAATGCATCAAGACATTTACAGTTTCTCTTCCATGCTGACCTTTTGGATTTTGTAAATAATAGGGGCTGTAATTTGCCTATGTCTTTTTTTTTTTAATCCCTCTCTATTTCTCAACAGTTTGCGGGTTCCATTCTCATAGGATTCCATCATCGACTTCAATATCACAGAAAACATTATGTCAGCCTGCCACAATATCAGTGAGAATCAGCCAGATCGTTGACGCATAATTTGGCCTATGTGGTAGCAGAGTGTTTCAAGAAACTCTCTATGGGATAAAGAGTAAATTATAATAAGTCTTTCTGCTTCTGCATGGCAGCCCTCATTCTTCTATGGCCAAACCTCCAAGTTAACCTCATTTGGAAGACTCTGCTATAATATGCTCATGATCTCTGATCTGGATTTGCTCATATCCTCGCTCTAATGCAAGATGAGTAGCTGACGAAAGACACTTGGCAAAGGAGATGTCCAGTCATAATTATTTTCCTTACACATGCATAATCCCATATCTGCCTATAATCCACCTTCCTGCTACTTAATTCTGAATGTCATAGCGTCTCAGCTATTTATCCTCTTCAGGGCTCTCTTCCGAACACTTTCTATATTGACTAAGGTTACGGCAAAGATCAATGGGATTACATTACAGGAAGCGGGTTCCAATTAAATGGTCAGAAAAACCTTCCCCATTTTAAGGCTATTTAGGTAGTAGAATAAATTGCCTTTGGATGTTTTGTCTAAGCTGGAGATTTAACAGAAAAGGCTGAATTAGCCTATGGATGGGACATTAAAAACGGCACAGCAAAGACATTTGACTAGTATGAATAGGCAGGGAATTCCAGAGAGTATTGCATGGACATTTATCATTTAAAAGATGCCAGATATGGGTGCATTCAGACACAGGGAATATTGCATTAGTTTTCTTTATTATAATGTTAGTGCTTCTATCCTGGTTTCTAACACTCATTTCATGCTGCGGTGCATGTTGCATTATGGAGCTGTGGCTTTTATACCAATATACCGTCACTTTTGCTACTTGGGAGAAAAGCAATGACAAACCTAGACAGCATCTTAAAAAGCAGAGACATCACCTTGCCGACAAAGGTCCGTATAGTTAACGCTATAGTTTTCCCACTAGTGATGCATGGAAGTGAGAGCTGGACCATAAAGAAGGCTGATTGCCGAAGAATTGGTGCTTTTGAATTATGGTGCTGGAGGAGACTCTTGAGAGTCCCATGGACTGCAAGAAGATCAAACCTCTCCATTCTTAAGGAAATCAGCCCTGAGTGCTCACTGGAAGGACAGATCCTGAAGCTGAGACTCCAGTACTGTGGCCACCTCATGAGATGAGAAGACTCTCTGGAAAAGACCCTGATGTTGGGAAAGATTGATGCTGGGAAAGATGGAAGGCACAAGGAGAAGGGGACGACAGAGGATGAGATGGTTGGACAGTGTTCTCGAAGCTACCAGCATGTTGACCAAACTGCGGGAGGCAGTGGAAGACAGAAGTGCCTGGCATGCTCTGGTTCATGGGGTCACGAAGAATTGGACATGACTAAACGATTAAAAAACAACAACCAGTCACTTAGCACTAAATTTTACTGACATCAGTGGCCACGGTGTGACACAACAATAAACAATGGAAGCAATTAACACAGAAATGTGCACTAAACATCCACTAGATCCCACTAGATTTTTGGAAGTGGCTTTTACATTGTGTGAATGCTTACATGTAATGTGGAAATTAACAGAGGGGTATGTTGGTGGCACTGTGGGTTAAACCACAGAGCCTAGGACTTGCCGATCAGAAGGTCGGCGGTTCGAATCCCCACGACGGGGTGAGCTCCCGTTGCTCTGTCCCTGCTCCTGTCAACCTAGCAGTTCAAAATCACGTCAAAGTGCAAGTAGACAATAGGTACCGCTCTGGCGGGAAGGTAAATGGCATTTTGGTGCGCTGCTCTGGTTCGCCAGAAGTGGCTTAGTCATGCTGGCCACATGACCAGAAAGCTATATGCTGGCTCCCTCGGCCAGTAAAGCGAGATGAGTGCCGCAACCCCAGAGTCGGCCACGACTGGACCTAATGGTCAGGGGTCCCTTTACCCTTTACCTATGTTGGGGAAACAAAATAAATGGCCATGTGAATGAAGCCTATATGACTAACATGGAAGTAGAAATCTAGCAGGCAGATACAGGCAAGACTATGAACACTGAAAACACTGAACAGTAAAAAAAAAAGTCTTTATCCTCATTGTTGAAAGTAGCAGACATTAAAATTAATGTACCATCTCATTTGCCTTTCAATTTCAGTAACTTTCAGCAGTGGTCATTCTGTAAAAGGGGTATATGTGGATAAGACACATTGTTCCCAGGAAAGAATTTTGGATAATTAAGTTTTATGAAATAGAGATTCTAGTCTTTAAGCTCTTTCCATGGCTATTTTGAGCAAATAATCAAATTATACAAGAACAGATTAACCCACTGAAAAGGGCAGACTAAGGCAACAATTTACTTATACAGAATGTAATAAATGAATGACAAGTATAAACTTATTACACATAGTAAATTCCCAGGAAAACCTTATGCTTATTTCTGGGGATCTAAAGTTTATGGACTTGGTTTTTCTATTTAGAAATGAGTGATTCAACTGGTTCAACATCATAAAATCATATCAACAAAAATTCCCCAGAGTCCAAACCAGTGACTATGCTTGGGAACTATCTGAACATCTACTATTATAAAGCACTAAGGAAGTTTGGTCTGGTAAATATTTCAGCTTATTTTCAGAGAAAGGCGAAACATCAAAGGTTCAGCCTTTTATATTCTAATTATTTGAGGATGCAGATCAATTTATAGATGGCATTGGCTGATAAACTATGTCCCTCTGGCAGCCTTTATTTTCATAAAGACTTTGAATCATCTTCTACTCCTGCATTTACTTTCCTAGACTTAGAATTGCTTAGGTGGGCCTATAGATTTCAGTCATGGAGGCAGGATTTAGCTAGTAGTTTAAGGATTAGCAATCTGGATTGCCTCTCAGCAAACTCCAGTACTGTCCTTTCTGCCATGATTGACACACAGAGCATCAGTAAAGTGGCACCAGTTGTTCCTACACAGTTGTGGGCATATGGAGCTTGTTCATTGGCCTCATCAGATTGCAGATAGCTCTGCTTAACACAAAGAGAGATAACCGGCTTATTTGATCCAGTTGGGTCAGTATGGAAAAAAGAACTGGAAAGTGTTTCTGCAACAAAAAGTGAGGTGAGGGGGAGAGTAATTTTTATGTTATGGAAATTGAGATTGCAATGTTATGTAGGAATTCCACACATGGTATTTTTCTTTTTAAAACATTGTGAAATTTCCCACAGCTCTTTTGTATTGATATTATACAGCTTTGTTAATGAACTGCCAATGAAGGTGTTAAGTTGCTAAACTTGGGTAGAAACAGGAGAAGGAGCTAACACTGAAGTGAAATCTCCAACTGAGGAAAAACACCACAGTAAATTCTACAAAACCACATGCATTTTGTCCTTTCTTTGATAGCAATAGAACTGCATAGGCCTTCAAAAAGAAGGCAAATGAGGCATTTATCCATGTTTTGCATGAGGAAGAGAGTTGGCAGTTGTTTGGGGTGACTATTTCTTTTCTGCATGCTAAATAACAATGGGCACAGTTAGGGATGGATGAATCTCTCAGTTTCAACCTCTTACTGGTTCTCATTTTTCCTGTCTTAAGTTCAGTTATCTACATTTCCACATCATTTTGCATTTAGGAAAAAAGCCCTCATGAAAATTAATCAGCATTTAGTATGAATTTCTTCTACTATACACATTTTTCTATCCAATTTTGCCTAATATACATGTTTCCAAACCAAGTTTCCATATTTTGCATGTTGTTCTCTAACTCACACATTCATGTTGCCTTAGTAAAATTCTGTATACATTAGTTGCCTGAAGAACTGCATTGAAAAATTTGAAAAAAGTGCAAACCACGAAGAATCACTATGTTTTAGTTCACATATCATTTCAGAAAGTATGAATTAGGAAGGTTCACCTTTAAATGTGAACTGAAATAAATTTCTTCTCCATTCTTGGCACAACCCTATTGTCATGAAAGACCTCTTCCTTGCACTGGTATTTGTGCAAATAACCTTCCAGTGTTTTTACTGCACCTGGCATATGATAGCAGCAGCCACAGAAACAAGACTAACATTGACAAAAATAACCTCATGAATTTGGAAAAAAAACATCAAAGAGCTGTTGTAAAGTCATTCATAAACCACAAAACGCTAAGTAGGAAGGAAAATGAGGAAAACAAGCAGAATAATGCACCATTAGGCACTTGATACAAACTTGTGCTAGATGCTTTGAGCACTCATGCTGCAAAATAGTTACTGAACTGTTCAGGAGGGAGAATGACATAGATTTATAGAGCTGTAAGAAACAGAAGACCACCCCATCTACGTTACTTTCACAAAGGTAATGTCTGCCACACATTATGTGAAATCATGTGGTTAGCGTTGTTTTTGACTGTAAGTGTTGCAATGAAGTACTGCCTAACTGACCAAACTATCACATCATTGCGGTCACAGTGCGAGGGTGCCCTTTCAGAAAAGTGCTTGCAGAGTAGATAGCTGTAGATTGTTCATGACCCAAGAAAGATGCTGTAGGAAAAGCCAAGCAAACAATACCAGAGTCAATGGGGAGTCTGTACTGAACTCCCGCCTTAATTTTATAACATTAAATTAAGTCTCTCTTCATTGCTCAACAAAACCATGTTACTGATGCATTGTGTTTCAGAGAGCCCATTAGGATGCAGTTTCATTTGCCAACAAGTTTAATGTCTCACTTAAGGCTGAATTTAGCAACATACAGGGTTGTGTAGAAAGTGCGGTTGATGGTACATCTACTTTCAGTGGCTGCGGCAAGATTTTCCACATCTTTCTCCAATTTAAGCCACAACTCAGTAGAGGCAATCTGCATCCAGAAACAGATTTCAAAATATATTTGCCTACCCGGGCAAAAGGGTGAGGAGGAGACTTGTAAGAAGCAACCAGGGGCTTTGGTCCCATCAGAAAATGGTTGGCCACATTCTGCACAAGCTGAAATTTTCCTTGGTTGTACAGTTAAAAGCATGACGTGCAAAAAGACATTGCAGGGTATCACTGGAGAATGGTCCATTACCTCCTAGAAATTCAGGTTTGTGTCAAGCCATTTTGGAGTTATTTTTTTCACCTATTGATTTACAGACATATGCTTCTCCTTACTTAGCAAGTCCCCTAAGTAAAATGAAGAAACTACTGTTTTGTTTTTGTGTGGTCCCATTTCACTTCCAAACTGATTGTCACTCAGTTGGCTGTTGGACGGAACAGTGATTCAGACTTACTTACATTCTCCCAAATGTGAAGCCTACCTTGTCTATAGTTATCAGCGTTCTCTCCGGTATGAACTTGAATGGCATTTTGTTGATGGTGAGTCAGTGTCTGAAATATGAGGCACATATTCAAATCAGCTACTTGAATTTATTAAAAAGGAAATTGCCCAAGTAGGCTGTAGCCAAATACCTAATGATTAACAATTATTATAGCACATGATCCTTCTTTGGCAGAAAATATATCCCTTGGATTTCCTAAGAAATGCCTAAATGCGGCTATGGTTGCCACAGCTAAATGCTGGCAATCTTGTCTTTGCCTCAAAACATGGGAGGAGTGCCAGATGGCTTGCTTGCTTTCTATTTTGAAGCTTCAGCATTCACAACCTTTGTATTACATGTCTGTGTAAAGAAAATGTTCTGTAACCTTCAAGCAAATATTTATAACTGAAAATTCAAGAAAGGGCAGTGTCCCTTGCTCAACTATGAGGTTAAGATGGTAAAGCTATTATTTGAAAATGAAAACTCTTTAATGAATATTTACCACACACAAATTGCTTTAGCATTCTTTGGCGTTGATCACCTTCCTTTTTTTAAAGGGATGATCTTATTTGAATGTCAAAACAACTTGAAGACAAGGGAACAGGACGTCCCACGAAGAATACTGAAGCTCAGCAATCGTGATTGCGATCCCTTTGTGCTGACTTTAGCCTTTTGCACTGAATGTAATGAAGGATAGTTTGAAATAGTTGAACGACTGGAAGCCCAAATAATTACCTGTTACGCAGATAATCTGCAATGGCACTTTAGACAAATGTTAAGTTGCTCCGACACTCCAGGTGATGGACCTAATGATCTGAATCTCATATTCGGTACATTTTCAGAAGCCTGAATACCAAGAAACTTGAGCACCAAAATATCAGGGAATAATAATAATAATAATAATAATAATAATAATAATAATTTATTATTTATATCCCGCCCATCTGGCTGGGTTTCCCCAGCCACTCTGGGCGGCTTTCAACAGAACACCAAAATACAATAACCTATTAAACATTAAAAGCTTCCCTAAACAGGGCTGCCTTCAGATGTCTTCTAAAAGTCTGGTAGTTGTTTTTCTCTTTGACATCTGGTGGGAGGGCCTTCCACAAGGCGGGTGCCACTACCGAGAAGGTCCTCTGCCTGGTTCCCTGTAACTTGGCTTCTCGCAGCGAGGGAACCATCAGAAGGCCCTTGGCACTGGATTTCATGCTTTTTCCAGCATGTTTTCATCCCAGTTATTCAGATCAGTGAATAAGACTCTGCCTTTCTGTCCCTTCCTTGTGGAGTTGCACCTACAATTACAACAGCACAACATCACTTTAGAGTTTGGAAAGAATCATTAACACACTTTCATTTCAGCAGAAGTATTTGATTGGTTCTGATGGTTTGTTCTGATGGCTTATGTTTCTCTGAGGATTTCTTGACACTTCATTTTGATCTGGCAGAGCAAACACATTAATATCATTCAGGCATTCTGAAATAAACATTTCCTTTCATAAGAATTTACTGATGTAATAGGTACTACATAGCTACTATAATAAATTTAAACTGTTAAATATATTTATGTGTGCTTTGGGTCTCCCTTTCCTGCCTATATCAGAGACAAAATTCCTATGAACTTTAGCAGTAGAGACATCCATAGTTTTTGACATCTGTGTGGCTGTCTTACAGATATAAATACTTCTTTGCTTGTAGCTAAGGCCAGCTAATGTTATATTTTAAAAAAACAGTTGAAAGTATAAAATTATTCATCAAGTGTTCCTTTTATTATTGCAACAGTCGGAAGATATAATGGCCTAGTGCCATTATTAACAACATCCACTGGAAGTCGTTCATAATGGCACTTGCTTTGTTTAATGATTTTCCTTAAACATCCCTAAACAAGAAGTCTGAGTGACACTTCCAATTCTGAAAAAAATGTATGTTCTGAAAGTATTGTCAGCATTTAACTCACACCACATTTTGCTTTGTTATTATGACCAGAGTTATTGCTGGACAGTGTAACGTTTAGAATAAAATAAACAGAGCCCTTCTACATAGTACATTTCTTTGAACATCTATGATTGAAAATTGTGAATGTATTTTCTATCCACAAATATACTTCAGGCTAGTTCATCCTGAAAGTCATCTTTTCAATGTTAAATATTAATATTAAACTCAAACTTGGACCTAAAAGATACCATGGAATCTAGGATAGGCAGATGGTACTTCAGAAATTGATGCATTGGGCTGCCATAGTTCTGCCCTGATCCTACTGTCTCATGCTAAATCAGTGTTTTGCCAGATAGAACTATTCCATTTATAGCCAGCCTTTCTGTCAAGGAAATTTACAATGCAAGAGTCCCATGATATTCTGGGTTTCCAGGGTGCAAATATATTCTTGTCTTGAAACAATTAAAACAGAAATGGGCATTAAACTAGATTCTGCAAGATTTCCAGAAGTGGATTTTACATGATGTGTGAAAGATCACATAAAATGTGAAAATTAACAGGTATAGGAATACTGGGAAGACAGAATAAAATGCTTGGTGAATGCAGCCAGAGCCTTAATTTAACATTCTGACCGTACAAGGGCCAGTCATCTCTGTCAGCATCTGTGGTCGCGCCTCTGCTATGTTTTGCTCAGAGGTTGAAAAATATAGGGAATACACAGACATTCTGAGGTTGAGAGGCCTGGGGAAATCTCTTCCTTTCTTCTCACTTGGGGTTTACTGCTTGTTAGTGTTCATGTGCCCCCTTCATGTGTGAACACTCCATTACAAACACAGCCTTCCTCCTAGATTTGCAATTCATCATCTGGGCTAGAAGTTCCGAGGGCAGACATCCTGTCAAACTTTGCAGCCTTTCACATCAATCTCACATTACTCCAAATATGGCGCCTTCCAGTAAGGAGAGTCATATTTTCAGAATCTGAATAAAGAATTTTGTTTTCAATCCCAGATTTTGTATCAATTTCATCTGAAGAGATAGAATAACCTGGCCGTTTCTCTCTGGGGCATCAGATATTTGTAATTCCTGAATCTAATATTGTGCTCTCATTACCTTCCTGTTTTCGAGCAGACTGTCTGGGTTTTCCAGTTGTCTGAAATCTCCCCATTACAAGTCATTTTAACATGAGGTTGGAAGCTGCTTGCTTAAACTGAACAAAAACTGTGCCTCTGTTTCCCCCTTTTGCCTCTCTTTATCCTGCTCAGGTTGCAAATTCTGGCAGGGAGCAATGCCACAGTTTGACAGCTGCTTCAATAGCTTTTCTTAAGAATTTGCTCAGTTGCTTTGAGCATCCTCAAGACAGGTACCAAAATCTGGCACTGAAGCAAATCCTTGCGCAATAGTGTCATTCAAGTGCTTGATGATTGACAGAGTCCCTCAAGAGGTGTCTGAAGGACTGCAGAAATCCTGCTGGTGCATCAGATATGAAATCTAGAAGCATCACAGGACACAAGTTTGTTTGTGATTCCAGTAGGGGAAAATTTAAAATTTATTTTATTATTTCTCCATTTGAATATCATTCTGATACACAGCCTAGAAATAAGTCATTGGTACTATGGCAAATCACTTATTCTCTATAATCTAGTTTGTTCCCATTTTTAAAGACACAAGACTGTTCAACCTGTGATTATTAAAAATAACTGTACTTGAAAAAAAAGAAATGAATCCAAATCAGCTTATCACCAGGAATGTGCTTTCAACCAGCCTTTGGGGAAGTTTGGCTTCTTTTTGCTGAGTTCTACACAGGAATGGTTAAATATTGTTTCTCCAGTCTCCTAATGTTCTTAATTTAGTGCTGGCATTTATCGTTTTCCTCAGGCAGACAATTTGGCTTCCCTTGGGGATGAACCAAGCAGTCACACTCACAAGTAGACATATCCCAGAGCCACTTCTATTGAGCTGTTCCTGCTTTCATGTGACAGTCCCTGTGTCTATGTTTGTGTACTCTTGATTCCCTAGTAACAACCTCTCCCTCATTTTTGAAGAGGCATACAAAAATGCCAGAGGACGGCCTTAATTTTCCCACATGATAACTTGGTGTTCCCTGCAGAATAATGACCGCTTGGTTAAGGGAAAATGAATTGAGAAAATTTTGAAAAGGAGATACTGTAAACTACAGTACTGGCTGCTTCTGCATGTCTCATGTCAAATATTGATCATTGTTTGGATATCTTCAAATCCACTGTAAAGCAGATACTTTCAAATCTGACCGCTACTAAATGTCTACTATCAGATACTGTTGGATATAAAAAAAGGTAAAGGTAAAGGACCTCTGGACGGTTAAGGCCAGTCAAAGGCGACAATGCGGTGTGGCGTTCATCTCGCTTTCAGGCTGAGGGAGCCGGCATTTGTCCACAGACAGCTTTCTGGGTCATGAGGCCAGCATGACTGAACTGCTTCTGGCGCAATGGAACACCATGACAGAAACCAGAGCTCACAGAAACACAGTTTACCTTCCCGCCAATGTCAGATATAGATGGTTGTAGGTATGATAATGTCAAACTCCTGCTGTTGAAAGAAACTTCTCCTCAAACTCTGTCTTAAATTTCCCCTGTGAACCAATACCCGCTAAACCTCTTGGGACTGTGCTAGTCTCTCTGAATATCCTCTTACAGGTAGGTAGCTGTATTGGTCTGCCATAGTCAAAACAAAATAAAACAAATAAAATAATTTTTTTTAAAAAATCCTTCCAGTAGCACCCTAGAGACCAACTAAGTTAGTTATTGGTATGAGTTTTCGTCTGAAGAAGTGTGCATACACACGAAAGCTCATACCAATAACTAACTTCTTCATTCCAACTCTCTTATGGGCAAGCTTCCAAGGGTTGTGGGCTGGACCAGACATGAAAGTGAGAAGAGCAACAACTGTAAATGTGACCACTGTGCAGTAGGCTGGTTCCTACATACACTCATATACTCTCCTCCAGGCAAGCATTATCAAAGACAAATTCCAGTCTGGAAACAAAAGCATTTGGGAGTTCAAAGCAGATCCAGTGAGGGGTGTGGCCTGGAGAGAGGGCCAGACACAGATGGCTTAGGGGGCACATTTGACCTCCAGGCCTGAGCTTTCCCACCTCTGTTA